AGAAATTGTTGTGTAATTTTGGTAAATATATCTGTTAAATGAGATGTCAGTGTTATTTTCCTTTTTGCGTAATTTAGATGACAATTTATCCATCGCACCCTGTTTATGTGTGTGTGTATTTTTATGATGATAGTGGTGGCGGTAGTAGCAGCAGCAGTAGTAGTAGTAGTAGTAGTAGTAGTAGTAGTAGTAACAGTTTTATTGGTACGCTATTGTTGCGGAACGGAAAGAATCTTTCGACTCCTGGTATCTGTGCCGCAAACAATATCTTGAAGACTATTGCGAGTCTAAGTAAAAAAAAAACAAGACTTGGAATTTAAACAAACAAAATATGGTAGATAAGAGTAAAGAAATAAATGAACTTCATTGTTGTAGTTATTAATAGTTCACCTTCCGTTTGATGTCTCTGAAGTACTTACATGCCGCGTGCTTTGCAGTAGTGAGATGGAGCGGATTGTGTTGCTCCCAAAACCAAAGAGACTGAACCTTTCCTTTCAAAAATCGCGACGCCTGTAATTTCCATAGGCGGTAATACTACATAGCTATAAAATTTAATTTCGTATTTTCTTTTTTTAAATTGAGAATCACTAATTTAGATTATAAATGCAATTTGTAACACCTTGCATTGATTTTTTTTATCTACTTTTTGCTAATGTAACGTTAGAAGGCAAGGTATTTGCAACATTATAAGGTAACGTTACGGGCATGTTGTAGGGCATATACAAAAACTGTGTATGTAACTGTTGTAACCTAGAGAATGTTACTGAATAGAATAATAATACGAAGATTGGTAATGAACGATAACACTTAGGACAAGAACAACACATGTAAGATTTGCCAGCGGCGCGTAGAAGTAGTCAACTATTAGAATTGAGTCAGATGAATTCCACAATGAATCTCCAGTTGCAGAATATCTACCAACCACCCCACGCGATCATAGGTGGCACAAGGCCGAAGTTAACGTGGGGTATCCTAGCCCGTAGCCTTGGCCAAAAATACCCCGTAGACCCTATATAAAACGGAGTCGGGTAGCTGTTTCCCGACTCTACCCTTCGATATAGCCTCGTCTGGGGATCCTCTCTGCCTCCAGGCAGAGAGTTTGACCAGCACAGCTAGAGACGAATCTCCAACTGCAGACCAACATACAGTATTTACTACTGTATTTATGCGAATGGTCAACCCTGAAGATTGCGTTTAGCATGAAACAGTCTGTCGCCTCTGGGTGTTGACTTCATTGTCCACTTTTATATTTACATACCTTCTATCTCTGATATTGAGCACTTTAACCCATAAATATATCAGTCACTTATGCGCCAGGCGTGATATACGCTTGGGCGATCATGTATCATGACTGACGAGGCAGATTTTTTTCCCACAGTAGGTTGCCATTTCTTTCTGCGGTAGACCAGTTGCCATCAAAAGCTATAGAACCCGGTCTGCCCTGCTATTTAACTATAGCTGGGAGTAGAAGAGGATTCCTACCTTCCCAAGAGTATTATCAAGTAAGTGAATGTAATGGATTTGAATGGAGTTCGAACTCGGCTCTCCGATTCCTCAATCCAAGCCGCTATCCTAAATATAGCATACCTTAAAACATATATATGGGTAATCGATATATAATTTATATATATATATATATATATATATATATATATATATATATATATATATATATATAATATATATATATATATATCAAGAACGATTTTAGGGTGAAAGAAATATGACAAAGTGGAAGAAGTTTTCGTGTGACGTCTCGCCGTTTCGGACTTCATCAGGCTAAACTGATGTTTACGTTGATGAGAGTACATATGCACACAAGGGAAACAGGAAAAGCTGAGAATTTTAACAACAGGAAGGGAATCTAAATGAAATCGGTGAGATTAAATACCTAAAATATATATTAATTTAAAAAAATAATAATTTAAATTTCTCAGCGTCCCCCACTTTCCTTCTTCTCGCATCGACGTTATCATAAATTGAGTCTGATTATGTCATAAAGAACGTAACGCGTCACGCAAAAACTTTTTTTCTTTTTATCATATACGAGTTCTGGGAGTTTCGAAACGATCAAGAATTTCAAAATAAATTCTCTTTGGCCAGATTTTGGGAAATTTGCCCAGCAGTGAACTTTCCAGGACGCCTCACATGGACAAACACACATACATACATATATATATATATATATATATATATATATATATATATATATATATATATATATATATATATATATATATATTAGAACTCCCCAAATACAAACATAGCATAATCTAGACTTCCTGAAATTGACTTGCTGGAATTTGGACTCATCTTCAAATCCGAACTTTTGTTTTGATATAAATATGAAGCCTTTCTTCCTCAAATCAGAACAGTACCCTCAATACCAAACATCTCGGTACTGTATATCTTTATTTTTGTCTTCCTTTATAGATTGTAATTGCTTTTGAATAAGATATTTCACATTTTTAAACATTTCATAAAGTGTCTTAGTTTTTCACAAATTACAATATTTGTTTAGCACAAATTTTTTAATTACTATTTGTTAATTATTTTCTGTATATTTATGTATTCAATCTACACTTTAAATAAAAGAAAAAAAAAGAATCGACCTTACAAACTACCTTTTATATCTTAAATTCTAAAACTTAATAAAATTTTTAAGCTTGCCACAGCAGCCTTTTGTGTCTCGAATCCGAGCAGTATCCTCAATACTGAACATCTCGGATGTTCGGTTTAGGACTGTATATATATATATATATATATATATATATATATATATATATATATATATATATATATATATATATATATATATATATATATATATATATATATATATATATATATATATATGCGCAGACGCACAAAAGAAAATCTGAGAAGTAATGTGGACGAACTTTCGTCTTCTCGTTGTTCACGTTTCGTGCAAAAAAAAAAAAAAGGCAAGCCCATTAAAAGCAAAGACTAAAAAGGAAAAAAGCAAAGGCAAAAACGATTATCAGATCCGGGTGGGGTGGAGTTGCCTGGAAAGTAAGGCCTACCCCTTTAACGCCGACACCGCTCATCTCCCCACAAGTATCATCTACCCTCGTCAACCAACTACTCCCAGACCTTCTCTCTCTCTCTCTCTCTCTCTCTCTCTCTCTCTCTTTTACCTCTTTTTGCCTCTCCACCGGGGAATCTCCTTCCCACTGCATCTAATGTTTTTTCCCTTTCTCCATCAAGGCCGCGTCTAAAGCCTCCATCTCTTTCCTCCAGACAGTACCCGTGACCTGGTTCTAAAAAAAAAAAAAAAAAAAAAAACACTTTTTTTTTTAATTTAATTTTTTTTTTTTTTTTTTTTTTTTTGCGAGTATCACGCGATGCCCCAACTACTTTTGTGGAAGTGAGAAAGAGCTGGGAGGTCGCCATCAGCAGCAGCGGCTCCATCGACTAGTCAAAAGGACTAAGAAGGGCGAGAGTGGGGCGAGGGAATGACCCGGGATAGGCGGGGAAAAAAAAAAGAGTAGTGACGTGGAGGCTGGTTGTCGGCAAGGTGTGTGCGATTACGCATTTTGTAGATTTGATACATTTTTAGTCGAAGTGATACAACGTGTTCAAAGTGTGTGTATGTGCGTCTCTTTGAATACGTGGCCGTTACTCTTTATAAGAGAAAAAAAAATTGGTGTACCTGTATACAACGAAAACTAAACCTGGCCTGACACAAGGACAACTTTACGCATTACACGGTACAGCCAGCTTTCCTCCGGAGAATCATTGTCTTTTTTTTTTATCAGATATTTCGTCGAGTAAAATATTTGACATATACGAGGAGTCGCAGAAAAGTGCTTGGCCCGATTAAGAAACACTTCCCGAATAATAATAATAATAATAATAGATTAAAGGCTGAAACGAAAGGCTTATTTTTGCAGCGCATCACAGGAGTCATTTCACAAGAAACTTTCAGGCAAATATCATACATAATAGTGTGGATCCAAAATGCAGGTTCTGAGACAAATATCTAACGTCTGAATATTCTGTACTTGCTCCAAATGAATATAAAAATCGTCACCATAGAGGGGGGGCAATACTTACACTGGACAATGTGCAAACACTTTCGAAAAGATGTTAATAAACACTTGTATGAACATCACCCAGCACTGGTTACAGAAATAGAAGACCTCACAATTCTTTGGGATTACACCATCCTTACAGACAGGAAAATTGAAGTAAATAGGCCGGAAACAATTGACAAAAAAACCGAAAAGAAAATAAAACTTGCCTACTAACTGATATGGCTTGCCCAGTAGACTGTAGCATAGCAACCAAGCATAGAATTTGAAAGTATAATGACCTTGGAAACCGAAATAGAAAAAATGTGGAAATTGAAAAGAAGAATAGTACCAGTCATAGTAGGTGCGCTTGGAATGATAAAAAAGGAACACAACAACACATTGAAAAAAATCCCTGAAATCACAGCTTGTGAGAAATACAAAAAATGCTCTTGATAAGTACAGTGCACACACTAAGAAGAACTTTTTCTATGTAACGCTAGTGATGTTATGGGAGGTAAAAAAAAATAATCATGAAATGTAGCCATAACAACACACCACTACCTATATTAGGTCTTCCCGTAGACCTGGTAGGTAGTGTGGCCAGAGCAGAAATCAAAATATAATAATAATAATAATAATAATAATATGTGTAACGCATTGTCAGTGGCTACACTCAGCTAGCAGGATTGACTGATTTTTATTTTATGGATTTTCTACCATTTGCAGGTTATTTAAAGCCAGAAAATATTTTTAGATTGTAAGAATTTTTGTAGATAATAATGATTTATTTATACATATCCTATTAGTTTAACCGATGGGGGTGAAGAAACGGATTCATACTTTTCTCAAAGGTATTCGCGCGTAAGTGAATATAACGAACCCGATTGGTATTGGAACACGGTTCTCCGATTTCCAATTGTGAGCCGTTATCCATTACATCATCCGCACACCCAAGATTATAAG